ATATAAAAACCTGAAAAGGTGTTTGGATTTAGAAGTGTAGCATTTGGTATTTTTTCTTAATAATTTTCACTATATGTAGTTATTATTCACTAATTTTATATAGACACGGATACCTTTATATTTTCCCAAATTTCCCAAATTATTGAATCACTTCATTGGAAATAGTTTTAAACACCTATCAGGTGCACAGCCTGGGACCATAGCAGTGACGGAAGCAGCGACAACTAATACACGACCCCTGCCTTCAGGAGCAACTCATTTTTGCCATTAAAGCAACATTTCTATGAATTAAATAAGAGAAAGAATACAAAAGAATCCAAAAAGCATCTAAGTGCTAGAGTATCCCCATAGCTTACATAATTTTTAGATATTCAGAAGAGAAAGATGAAATCGTGAGATGGACAAGTGGAGCTTTGTTATAGAGAAAACTACTGAGAGAAATGGTGGAATGTGAACATTATTTTGAGCAGTCATAAAGGTGATGGAAGACAACATAGAGAGAGCATCCTAGACACCAAATGGGAGAGACTCCCAGTTGCATAGTGCGGGAGTGGAAGGTAGGGACATTTACCTAGAGGAGAGAGTTTGCACTGGGAAAAGGTGAGAGTAAAGGGGAATTTTAGTAAGATTGTCAAAGGCCTTAAATTCAGGCCTAATACAAATTTCAGTATATATTAAGGGCCTAATTAGCCTGCCAAAGCCTTTTCAACTCTTACTTGGTTAAAAAAAATAAAACACTTAGCCTTCAAAGTAAAGCAAGTCTAATTTATGCTGTTCACGGGCAGCTAAAAGTTTCAGTTTGGTCAGTATTGCCAATTTCTAAGTGTCAGTCTAAGTCCTTCAAGTTCACCCTGTGATATTTACTTCCCTAATTTCTACAAAGTACCCATTAAATATATTCATAGGAACTTTGATTTACTCTTAGAACTAGATGAACCTCAAAGGAAGAGTATTCCTTTCTTTCCAAATGTTCATATCTATTTAAAGCTTTATCTGACCATTTTGCTTATTTTTTAAATGTTCCTTGGGCCTTATTATCCTTACGTTGTGAAATGATCTAAGAGTTATAAATGACCCTGAAGAAGAACAAAGCAACCCAGCCGTTGGGAAGAAAGCTCAGAGTATGCCATAATTTTCTGCTCCGAAGAGATAAACTGATCAATGATATGCTACAGTGATTTTACCAGAAAGCTTGTTTATTATTTTGGCTTTAACACATTAAAACTAGCAATGGTTCAATAAGAAAGGGTCATGTTAAGAATTTTTTTTGCCAACTATAAAGTTCCTTGTTGGTTTCATAAATAGTTTCCCCCCAGGAAATCTCTTCACAAAAGAGAGATTTCTGAACCCTAGAGAGCATGCTTTCATTTGAAAAAGTATGAAGAAGCCACAACACAGTGAATGAAACATCAAGAAAATGTAAACATCTTTATGGTGATGGAATTCCCTAAATACAGTGCAAGGCTCTTCTGATACAAAACAGCTGTTTTTCATGTGTATCTACAACCAGACACAAGGAGAAATGCTGTTCAGACACCTTAAGTCATTTCAAATCAGCTTAAAGCATCTTTGGTGCCCTTAAATATTAATGAAAGTCAACAAGCAGTGAAGTCTTTGCCCTACAGGGACTGTCACTGGTCAGCTCCTTGCTGTTTGTTTCTGAGTTAATCAAATTACTATATCATTGGTGCATTTGTACCCTCCACCATTAATGTTGAGTGTCTTTGAGAAAAGAGGATGTTCATGGCGTAATGGCACATTAATCCTGTGGAAGGTGGGGGAGGGGGACTCCTTTACCCAGATTGCCCTTGTGTGTGAGGTGGAAGCGGAGAAGATCAGTGGCAGGAATCAACCTTTCAGAAGGCAGTCTGAAAGCCACTTCTCTTCACATTATCCTACCCAGATAGGAAATACACGTGCAAAGAAGAAAAAGAAGCTATGAAAGAAAGAGTTTAATGACATTAACTTCTTAATTTTTCTCTGATATAAGATGTAGACATCAGTATCATTCTAAATGTGCATGGCAGTCATTTCAGAGAAATCACTCTTGTGGTGGAACTAATTGTTATCAAAATGAAAACTATGTTCTGAATGATACCGATACTTATTTGTACTTGGCAAAACATACCTTTCTTTCCAGCATCAAAATGGTTAAAATGAAGAAGCCAGGTTATTACACATTTCAATTCCAGAGTCAAATATAAAAATTTCTATTATAGGGACAATTAATTACATCTCAAAATGGCAAATGTGCATCCTTGTCAGGTAGAGTGTACTCTGATGGCCTTTCCTCAAACACTGAATGTGGAGATTTGATCTCTTCTAATGGTGCTGAGAAAAGGGTAATTACGCTATGGTCAAAGCTAATTTGCTTTCTGCCAGATGAACTGTTGTATTTTATTGTACGCTGACATTTTAAAGTAATTACGGCACTGTTGACCTTAGACAATTCCAGTTGTATCGCTGTCTACAGCTGCAGCGCTCAGTCTACCTTTGGCTGGCAGACAGTGGCTGTAACGAGGTAATGACACGGACAAAGAGCACCATATGGGGCTCCTTTGAGATACACAAAGCCCAGTGAAAGGAAACAAGAAAATTTTAACATCATCATTACAGTCACACATCTTTACAGCTATAAAGGATCCTGTCCATACATGCCTGTGCACGTGCACATACACAGACACACAAATAATCTAAACACTTTGCCTGCTTACATCTTAGGTGTGTGCATGCATGTGTATGAGCATGTGTGAGTGCATGCATGCATGTGTGTGCCTGGGTTTCTTTTGTAAATGGCAGCATGCATCCAGAAGAAAAAGAGATCAGGTAGAACTGAAGGTGATGGACTGGTCTTCCACCGGCACGGGTTCAAAGGCTAAAGACTATTGATTGAGATAAAAGCCCAGGTTCTTATCTAACGTTAAGGACACTCCTTGTTGTCAGAATGCTGCGCACATAATTAGGTAGAAAGAGGAGCACTTGAGCCAGAAAATCACTATAACCTGAGCTTCATTAAACTTAGATATTAGTTCATTTAAAGGAAGAAATTGTTATTCATTAATATATTTTAATGAACTCTCTGGCTGTGTTTCCTATGGTAAGAATTAAAAACGTGTTCAGAGCTCAGCCTGGTTAATGTATCCCCGCTAAGACAGCAAACTAGATTAATATCCCTTGAAAAGAAAAATATTTCATTCTCTTCAATAAAAGTGTACAGGGTACTGAGTTATGGAATTATTGTCATGGAGAAGTGGGAGAAAACTGAGCTTTACCATCATGTTAAATATTTTTTTCTGTTTATTGGGGTATGTAAAAATGGACTGGAAATGTGAGCTTGCTTGCACAGAGTTGTGGGTGTTGCTTATGTCATAGTTTATGGCTTACTCATGTTACAATTACACAGAGCAAAGGCAAATCAATTTATTTCCTTTTGAATTACATTGATATCATTCAGTGATTTTTTTCCTAGTAATTATTGGAAGAGTGCATGTTTCATTATCTTACTGAGAAAAAAATTAATTTATAAATTACGATACAGAGATGGGAGGCTTCTGCTCTGGTATCCTCGATTAGTTTTAACTCTGAGGTTTATTTTTCCCCTAAAATAGATTTGTTCGCCTTTTCCCAGCCTTTTCCCCTTTCATTAGTATTTGGAAATTTCTATGCCAGTGGAGGTTTATTTTTAATGCAGAGTTTATTTGACAGTTACTATAGAAATCCCACTCAAAATTGGAATTAATGGGATTAATATATCTATTAAAATCATTTCTGAGATATTTTCAGTGGCATGTGACTGAAAATTTACCTTGTTTGTAACCTCAGTAAGAAAGAATTTCTGGATTAGAAGCAGTCTCTTTAATTTGAATTTTTGTTTTACCTCTAAAACTCAGAAAAACTAATTGACCTATACGCTTTTCATTGTGAGGAGCTCAGGAACATATTAACACTATTTCTAAAAAAACTTTGTGACTATCAAATTGCACATGAAATTCCTGATACTTTTAGAATGACTTAACAGTTCTGACACTGTTTTTTTTTGACATAAGAATATTCACTAAAAATTATGTATTAAACAGAATATGTGACCAGTACATTCTAGAACTGGAGGAATAACAATATACAAGCAATCCAAGTTTATGAAGTAGTACACTAAAAAACTTAAAATTACAACCATTTTGCTCTTCGCTGATTCAGGCCTGCACCCAATACTAGGAAGCACAGCTGGAAATATGAACAACCTCTTTGTATTCTAATATTATTATTGTTGTTAGAAACAATACCTCACGCCTAAAAGCTAATTGTTTAATCTCTAGATGTCCTTGATTAAAAACCTTGAATATATTTATTAATAAGTTTTATACTGTGGAAATTTACTATTTAATGCTTTTAGAAACTTTTAGAAAATACTTATTTCTTCAAGAGGATACATAGTAATGTGAAATCAGTGTTTGTCTAATTGTGTTTATTCTCCAAGTCCCAGGAATTTGAAAAAGATTAAGAAGAAAAAGAAGACTTTCCAAAAACTGCATTTAAAAAAAAAGTATGATTATTTCTGAAAGAGGAATGGAGTAAGGGAGATACATGAGTCTAGTGTAGTCCCAGAATGAGGAAACCAGTTCTGATAGATTGAGAGTGAGTGGCAGAAAGAGAGAGAGTGACAAGAAGTAAGAAATCACTTCCTTGAATTAATAGGGGACGATGGAGCTGGAGGAGCAGAGAAGCAGATAGACGGGAGTTGGAAGGACAGATAAAGAGACAGCTACATTCAGAAGGGGGATGTAAAAGACCATTGCATAACAAAGAAGGTTCATTGCATGCAAACTTGGACATTAATGATGGTATCTGTGACTAGACCCTATAAAACTCCCAATTACTTTGAAGCTGACGAAATACTAAGAAAACTGAGTAAATAAAAGAAACAAAGCAAACACAAAATAGGACAAAAGACATAATGGCTCCGAGTTCTAATCCTTACTCTTGAGTTTTTTACTGTTACTTACCCCAGTCTCCCAACATGACATGCCAACAGCAATTCCTCCATTCTGTTCTGTGAAATAGGACAAGGAAGATAGACCTGAAAATACTGTAATAGCCACAATACTGAGGCTTTAATCCGATATCTCAGTAATTCTGCATGTTATTTGAACAATGAGAATTTTTTTTTGTACCACTAAAAGGTGACAGAGAAGTACTTCTTCCCTGTGCAGTGAAGATTGCAAAACACACCAGAATTTCAAGGTAAATGACAGCTTGCAGGCAGGTTAAAATTTTAAAGCAAGCACTTAAAGGTCTTTGGGAAAGTTTTAGAGATGTGTTGGAAACAAAATAATTCTCTCATCTCTACTTAAAATAAGCTAGTTTTCCATGCGAAGCTATTTTGAGCCATAAAAAAGACAGTAACTCTAATCAAGTATATAGATTCATTAAGGACCATACTAGATCGAGGTCAAATATGTGACCCTCCAATCTGGGTGCACTTAGCTGAGGCAATACTATCTCATCATTACTATCTTGAATTTATTGTCCATGAAATAGGCTGTTGCCTGCTTTTCTATCAAAACAAATATAAAGACTAATCCAGCACGTAAAAATGTAAGTCAGACTATTGATGCTGTTTAGCTGGACTGGATATACCGCAGACCAAGAGAAGTCTGCATAACATTTAAAAAAATATCTTCCATAAAATAATGCATTTTCTTTCCTAAAGATTCACTGCATATAGTGACTTTCATTACTTTCAGGAAATGGAAACCAATCTTTGTATATCTGCCTTTCTTTAAATGTCATTCGTGCAGGAAAGTTTTAAGCCATGTCAGTATTTTGCCAGAACAAAACAGAGGCATGGAAAACAAAGGCACAGGGCTCTGAGGAAAATGTAAGAGACTGAACACCGACAATATTAGGGAGAATGAGTGCAGAGTTAAGAAAGAAAGATTTGTAGAAAATTTCAGCAAACCTCAAAAAGAAAAAACATTAATTTTCACATATTTATATATTGTTTTTAATTTTATAAAACTTTAAGATGAACAATCCTGTTATCAATAAGAGTTCTTCTGACAACTAATGGCTAGAAATTACTTTGGCACTGGTATAATTAAAATACTAAGTTTACATGTTAGTTTAGCATTTTCACAATTAATGTTCTCACTGGGCATGTATATAAAGATAAAAAGTAACCTAAGATTTTTACATCATTAATTAAGTTATATTAAATCTTCAATTACTCTATATTTCTTTTATTTTTTGAAGTTTGGCCTTCAATAAAAACTTTCTCCCTTTTACATCACAAGGTAAATATTTCTTGCTATAATTGAGACAATCTGCAATTTGCATTGTGCCAGAAAACTGCTCTTGTGCTGGTTGCTATTAGATAATGTATTTTACATAGATTAGCCTAAATTAAGACTCAGGAGGAAAATCTCTCTTCCATTTCATTTTTTTTTCCTTTTTCTGAATGATGAGTGACTGTCAGTGTGTGGATGCCTCTTTTCAGGGAACGTGTGAAGCTGTCACCCTGCCATGTCTGCAGGACAATCCAGATGTTACCCAATATGAAATCCAGGTCTGAGCATCAGGATGATTGTCAAATGAGAGCAACTTAATTATACGCCCACGTCTCCGTAACATGACAATTTGGGGGAGAGTTGAAGGAGGCCAATGTCTCCCAATTATTTCAAACTAATCTTTTTGCTCTGCTAAGTTTGTGTTATCTTCTTCTAGGTTAGTATTAAAATATTTAAAAATCTATTTTGGAAGGGGATGCCCTATACCTTCCTTATGATCAGATTTTATTAGTACTTATAAAAAAATCATTCTTATGTTTTAGAGGTTTTCTCTAATCACAGCTATCGAGGACAAGGAATCTGGATCTGAGGACAGTGTGCGTGCCACACTGGCATCAGAGCCTGTTTACGCAGGTAATGGCTGGCTCAGGATACCTCTGAACTGTCACGTACCAATTGAATTAATGAGGCCATACAGGTCTAAGGTCCCCCAAAAGGCCTCTCTAGATTAGGGTCTATTAAACCTGCCACAAGCTGCTTAATGCTATAAAAGTGACAACAGAGGCTTTTTTGGTTTAACATTTTGTTTTCTTTTTTCCATTTTTTAATATTTAGAATGTTAAAAAAATTTTTTTCATTCTTCAGCAAACACCCTTTTAACTTAGAAAAAATTCCTATAGATTCATTAGACATGCAAACATTTTTTAAAGAACACCAACACTCAAAAATATATATATATACATATATCAAAACTGCAATTTGGATTGAAGAGTAAGTTTAAGAAACTGCATCTTAGTTGATAAATGAGACAGTTAATATAATCTTTTTTTAAGATTATTAAATGTAGCTACATTCATTTCAGCAAAATAAAATATTAAAAATTACAAAAAAACAGCCTATATTATCAGGGATAAAAAGAAAGCATTAACTCTGTTTAGGCATACATAATCCAATATTTAGCTGAGGGAGTAAAATATCAGGGTGTATTCATATGAAAATCACAAACATCAACAAATAAGGAAATGATAATTAGCATTCTCTAAGGATCATATTTAATATCATTCTCCAACAATAATTTTATTGTCACAATATTGGCTTCATATTTTGTGCATCCTTCATTTGCTTCCTATATTACTTTAAAACTCTCCAATGACTATAGTCTTTGGTGGACTGTGAATGTTATTGCATTAGTGGACTTTTGTTTTTGCTCAGAAAATTTTGAGTGCAAAATTAACTTAACATCTTCAAATCTATAAGGTGCTTAGCCTTTAATTTGCTGTACATTAACATGAAATGGTCAAAATATGAAGCGATTTTTAGAGTGATTATTATGATTGTAATAAGGCCTGACATTTGCACCACTTCAAACACACAACCACCAACAGTTCCATTACAACAAAAGAGCTTCCAGCATAACACATTTTAATAGTCAGAAGAGTTGTGAATTCACAGCTTTGCACAGCAGGTGAGGCTGCACATCTTTGCACCCTAAACACATTTACTCATCTAATCTGACAGATTAGACAACGGCACAAAACCCCCACCCCCAGTGTCTAAACAAAGACTTCATTTCAGAAGGGACAAAGCTTCATGTAGACTGTTTTGCCACTAATAACTTTTCCAAGCAGAAAACAATGTATATTTTATTAATGAAAAACAAATTGCGGCAGGGAAGATGAATGCCTTAGCTTTTCTGACATTTTAAGTAATTTGCTTTCCCTTCCCTTTTGTGCCTTTAATATTTACCTTCATATCAATCTTTATGCAATTTTTTTAATTAGCTATGGTGCTGGCAGCGAAAAATAGAAAGCATCACAATCCAGAACCTTAAAACCATGTCAGAAGGGGGAAACCTGCCATTTTTGTGAGTAAACTATATTGGAAAGCATCACCTTAGTTAGGGCCAGAGGTAAGTTGGACTTTGGGGCACCCACATTTGTGACAAAGCACATGAAAAAAGGTTTCAGGTAAGAAAAAGCAACCTGGGTTTCTATTTACCTTCAGCGCAGCCGGACATTAAGAAGTGGGAATGGAGATGCGCACATTTACCTTAAGGGAAGGGCCTGGGCGCTCATGGGCTCTGGAGGCGCATTGGGAGGCAGCAGCACTTACCATGAACCGGAAAAGGGAAGTAATAGCACTGGCGGGCTGTAGGTCAGTCACAGATGTCGACCTGAGAGAGCCATAAATCTCTCGTACAACTTCAGCCAGTGACTTACAGAACTCCCTTCTAGCGTTTCCCTATAATTTAAAGATTATGTAAGGTATATAGTGTGTTTGATGAAAATATTAATTTAGAGATAAATCCTGTAAGTGCTCAGAAGCAGCAGCTTCTGCTGTAGTTACACTTCAAACAGCACAGGCTGCTAGTTTTGTCAACAGTAGGAGGTCATGAAAGGCTGCCAAAAAAAACAAACCTTTTTCAGTAAAATGCTTTCAGTTCTAAGTAGTTACAGACTATCTCCTGTACTCTTTTATTACTGATATTTAAACTTTGATATATTGTCTTTTGCTGACAATTCCTTGAGTCAGAAATCTTAATCATAAAATGAAGTGTGGCACACATACCAGAAAGCCAATTAATCACAGCAAACTCTTTCTGCCAAGTTCAAATAATTGTGGGTTGGTTTTTTTTTTCTGGTGGGGGGAGAGGAGAGGGCAGGAAGGAATGGTAAAAGTTATAGTGTAACTTCTTTCTCTTTTATTTATTTGTTGTTTTCTGAGAGACAAATAACATATGTTGGTAAGAAAAATCTTGAGCCTTTAAGAAAAACGAAACACATTTTCCACAGAAGGAATACTTACTTTCATTAATGCTAATAAGGCACAACATAGCTTTCATTTATCAATGTGGTATAACTGATCCTAAAATAAAAGTATTCAACATGGGTTTCTTTATGTGATTGGATAAAAATATTAAAATATAAGGTAAGATGTACAGTAGATATTCAAATTTGTCATATATTTAATAATCTGCATTGCAAATTAATGCACTGGATAATACTGCCCAGCTAAGGAATATGAAAGTCGATATAACTGATATCTAAAACCACTTCTCACTTGAAAGGCAAATACTATGCTGTAAAACTGGTTATTGTGATTTTCAGTTGTATTTTCTAACTAAGATGTCTCTTTTGAAACTAGATACCCATTAATGATGGTCTGTCTGGGGGTGGAAAGTAAAACACACAGGGACTTGTTATAAGCATCAAATTCTATTAAATGGGTACACAGACGCTGCCAAGTACATATTAAAGTTCATTGTTGCGATTCATAAAATGATTTTGTTTGATTTTTTAAAAAGTTTACCCCATTATTATTCAAGTCCTAAAGGTATATAAGAACCAATACAAACAGAAAATAATAACAACTGGGAATTTCACATATTTTTAATGATCTGCTAAAATTACAAGATGTAATTAACATTGCAGGGGGCCTGGAGAGCAGAGACATGAACAGAATGAGAATTTAAATCTGACCATTAGAAGTGATGATGCGAAACTCACAGGTATATCTCTTGGTTGCTCCTTATTTTCTCAGAGTATGGTTCAAGTGTTTTAATGCCTACCCTGGCATCTTGACTGGTTTTAAAAGTAACCTGTGCATGGAGAACTCTGACACTTTTGGTGCAGGCATTATCAGCACAGTGATATCTGTAAGCTATGCATGGCCACCTTTATTGTTTTACTGTTTTAAAAGCTATGTTCCACTTGGAAATTGCATTAAGAATATAAATTTCAGATTCAAAATTATGATTCTATACAATGGAAGCAGAATGTGTGCTCTGTAGCACAAGATCCCTTTCATTTAATATTAAGCATTCATCCTCTCACATTTTTCTATTTTTGAAAACTTTGAAATGAATAGACACACACCATAGGATTCTAGAGCCTGTAGAATCCCAGGGCCCATGGCGGACTGAAGCCTGGCAGTCTCTTATACAGACACTGCCAGCAGAATATTTGAAGTTGACGCAGCTTAGGAAGAGACTGACCTTCACAGCAAAGCCAGGCTTTCTAAAAAAAAAAATTAAAGCCATTTTTACCCCTAATCACAGACATGCATTAAAGATCTTAAAACATGGCTGTGATCGAGCAATTTTTTTCTGGCATACCTTTTAAGTAAAGACTAGTGTCTGCACAATTTATAAAGAAGGCCTGATGTTCTTATATACCCCATATAGTCTCATTTTGAAAGCAATCAGCTATATGATCTTCCTGAGTCCCAGCCTGTTCCCTCTTTAATACAGCTAAAATGGATGGAAAAGCACAGAGATTGTTTTGAATTGATGTGAAATGTGTCTTGTCCCAGCTATCCTATGACATGGCTGAGATTGGCCATCATGCATTCAAGTCAATTCCTTCATATTAGTCTATGTAGAATATAAGTCCAGACTCTTTCTTTCTTCTTTTTATAATCATCAATGCTTACCTCTAACCACACACACAGGGGAGAAAAGGTATTAAAAGGCATCAGGAAAACAGAGACAATTTTCCTGATTATCAGTTGCCTCTCAGTGAACCAGTTTAAAGTTTTCACTCAAGTTCTAGCTGTGAATTCTCTCAGTCTAGAACTTTATGGTACAAAGGAAACAGGATGCTTTTCTATTTGGGTAGTGTGAGATAAAGATTTTTAACACCACTTGTATAACACTAAAGATGTTCATTTTAAGAATTGATACTAAATTTATAATTGCTTGCCATTAAGAAATAGTATAATAATACGGTACAATATGAAATTTATAAAAGAGGATCAAGGGAAATGTAAATTATGTAAATAGGCTGTTCTCTTCAGAGATATTTTTCTACTTAGCTATGATACTAGTAATCTCTACTGAAAGGATTTAGTAATTGCAAAATATTAAAGATGATTTACATTCTATGAGCACTTGTCACCCTGTATGTCACTATAGTCACCATAACTTGACTAGGGAAATATTGGGCCATGAAGGGAGAATAAAAGAGAGAACTATAGTGTGAGAGTCTGGGGACATAGCTGGTATAGCCAGACAACAAGGATGTTTACTTGTCTATTGATGCTCATGAATAAGGACCGATAACTACTATTGTCATCTTATGATGTAAGTCAGCATTTTGTCATACAGTAAATAATAGATTATCATCTAAAGTTCAGACATTACATTATTTGTGGAGGTTAGAGAGTGAAGATATAGTCCTTATCTTCCAGATAAGTTTGACAGGAATATTCACAGCAGTTCCTGCATTCCCATTAAAACATTTGTGATCAACCACAGTCATGGTCTGTGATCCCAATGAGGCCCACAGGGCTTTCTGGTCAGCCCTATCACCATTCTTCACAGCAACTATTTCAGACTCTGATCCATCTATCTAAAACACTAACACTAACCCTAATCCCTCACTCCCAGGAAATAACCTTTCTTCCCACGCAGCAGAGAAAATAGAAACCAGAGAGAATCAACTCCTTCATCTCTCTGACAACTGAGTTCTTTCTCCTCTCTCTTACCACTTCCATCACTCTACCCAAATAGTTGCCACCAGGGTTGCACATGGATGGGTTTCAGTTACTCTCTTTTTTGACCTCAACATAAGCTAACACTAGAAAGGATTTCATTGGTCTTGAAAAGTATTCTCACCTCTGCCTCCTCCTTACCCTGTTGGCTTGTCTGAATAATATACTTTTCATAAAAGATTTTGTTTATTCCTTCTCTGGAAAATTTACTTGGTTGTTTTCCTTAGTCTCTTAAATACAGATTTTTAAAGTGGGCCTATCTTTAAAATATATGGTATACCAAAAATGGAGAAAATTTTGTTCATTAGCTGCTAAGGAGATGAAGATGTCATCTCGTCTCATGTTTTTTCCCCTATGCTTCAATTTCTTTTGTAGTCAACCACAATATTCAGTTAGTAATCATTGTGTAACAAGGGTGTTAAACTCATTTTCACCAGAGGTTGGGAGCACATTAGCTTCATGGGGCCGAATGCAATTTTAACTCCTTAACAGTTAAGGAATAGTTACACTTATACAATCCTAAAATTATTTTGGCCCTTTGAAGGCAACCGTGAGGCTGATGTGGCCCCTGGTGAAAATGAGTTTGACATCCCTGTTGTATAAGAAGTACCACAGTAGGTACTAAGGAAAGTTACCCATGCCTTTTCCCCTATCTACAGGATTAACTATTTTATGTCCCTTATATGATGCTCACACTAAGTTTCTGCAATCATTACTAGCATGTATGAGTTGATGTGTTGTGCACTGCATTGACTTTTGATTTTATACGATTCCAGGACGGAGTCTGTACCCTCTCCATAAAATGATTCATAAACCCTCCTAAGTCTTATGACATGGATACATCCACACTCATCAGTACCAAGGTTACTACTTCAAATATTTGTGTAAACTCTAGAAACTACTGACTCCCAAGATTTCTATAAAAAACTGCAAGATAACTTAATGCCATTTGTCAAGTTAATTTCACCTGTAAAAGTAGCTTAGCCTAAAAAATATACTGAGTATGTTAAGTGATGACACTTTTCATATGCTTGACCCTTCTCCTTATGGTCAAATACCAAAGATACTACTTCAGTGTTTCATGTTGGAGCCATATGGCAGGGGCAGCTGGATCTGAGCATGAAATTCTGTAGCATAGAAACTCTCATACATGTTTTAATGAAAATGTTTGCAAGGCCCCTGCTGGGAATTTCTGTTTGTTAGAGCGTTTTTCTGACACCAAGGTTTCAGGTTCAATCCCTGGTCAGGGCACATACAAGAAGCAACCAATGAATTCATGAATAAGTGGAACAACAAATCAATGTTCTCCCTCTCTCTCTCTCTCCAAAATCAATAAAAAAGTTTAAAAAAAATTTAAACATAATGCTTGCATAATGCATTATGAGGTGTCCTACATCGTCATTGGTTTTTTACTTTGCTCATAAAAACAGGAATTTCTTTAAAAAATAAAACAAAACAAAAATTCACAACTGCTTTATTCTTTAAATATTAGGATGAGGAAATACAGATTCTGAATAATTTACAAACTACATGCCCAGGGCACATGTGGCACACCAAAAGTTGCAAAATTAACTAGGTTTAAGGGTATATTCTGGGGACTTTCTTAATATAATCATCAACAGAGTTATTTATGCTGTTTTCTGACAGCAAAAGATTGAACTATCAATGTTGGTGGAAAAAGCATATGTTGAAGAGATAATGGAAATTATGGCTGGTTCCTTAGCAGAACTGATGTTCCCATGAATTCATTTTTTAAAGAAACACAAGG